ATCAGTGAACCAACAAAAGCATAAATGGACACCTCTTTGGGCTACAGTGACAACATACATTCAGTGACACTATGGGCTGCTCTCAAAGTGGCAGGGAGGTGGGAATCCAGGTTGGAGAACATGTGTAGAGAGGGAGCTACGAAATTCACAGGAAATGGGTTTGTCCTCTACACCTGATAAGCCAGTCCTCTCTCTTGGCTCTGGCTAAGATGGAAGTTTTGGCCCCTGGACTGTGTCATCCTACGGGATGCTCCCAGAACTGAGCTAGGCAGCACAGAGAACGGGCCCCAAAGCCTCCTCCAAGAGGATGCTCCACAAATATGTGTTGACCACATGGGTGAGTGAATAAAGCCTGCTTCAAAATAGTACTATCATATATTCTCTCATTTGATTCTCTAAAAAACAAAAATATAAGACCGACGATGTAATCAGTACTGAGTTCATTTCACAGTTGTGACTATCTGAAAGATTAAGGGATTTGTCCAAAGCTACATGAACTCTTCAGTGGTAGAGTTAAGACTTAAAAGATCCTGGGTTTAAGTTTTATGTTTTTTTCCATTACACCAGTTTGGCTCTTCATTTCACTCCTGGGTTAAATTATGTTACAAAGGGCCCCTGTCTCCTTCTGACCTTTCCTCAAAGGCACAGAGTCACGGAGACAGCTGCTGAAGGGGAACTCCTACCTCTTCTGTCAGCTGCCTTGCCTCTGATCTCTGATACAGAGAAAGATCACTCTCTGACTGGCCCTAGGGCCTAAAGACCTTAAGAAGGGGTTATGGATCCGCTCACAACTAAACCAGCACCAGCTTAAGACTTCACATTAGCCAGTGTAAAGTCATAGAGCCAATTATGTATCTTCCCAGAAAGAGAACATCCACTCAGTTACTGCCTATTTCCAAGTACGAGTAGGACCTGGGGATGATAGGATAGCTGGAAGAATTAATTTAAAAGATAGGGATAAAGAAAAAAAGAAAGTAGGAGTTTATCTGAATGGTAGATAACTGCGGTAAGGGATAGAAAACAGCTTTCCCGTGGCATGCGGCTCTGAACTGGTCATGATTACTTGCTATGCTGTATGGAGAATGATGCTAAGGCCGTCTTGGGGGCCAGAACAAGGAATGAGGTATCCATGGGTGACGTCTGCTTTTGGTTCAGGTGCATAGAGTGGGAACCTCAGAGCTATGTGGAATGGTGGGCCTCTGGGTGTCAAGCTTGTGAAAAGACAAGCAAGAAGAAGAAAGGAGATCAAAGTAAAAACATTTCAAAAGAATTAGACAAGATGGTCTGAAGTGACGCATTAGCAACAAGAGAGATTCACCCCAAGGAAAGCTTAAGTGAAACAGGAAAAAATACTTCTCCATAGAGGAGAGCAGGAAGGACAGCAGGTCTCCACATGGGCAGGACCACTCAGAGGAGAGGGTGGGAGCACACCATTGAGGCTTCATGTGGCTCCATTTTACCTCATGCCACCAGGCAGGGGTGGAGTTCAAGTGCACCCCCTGGCATCAGAGTGAAAGTGGTCTAGACCAGGAAAGCTCTGCTGGCAGCCTCCTCCACATCCCTGGATCCTTAAGCCAGGTTCCAGCCCCATCACAGGAAGCCCCCAGTGATCTCTAGGAGTTCACTAAGACACAGGAGGCAGCATCCTTCCAGGTAGGTCAAACAGCACATGCTCTGTCTGAGGACAAATGTTTGAATGCACACAGGAGAGATCGAAGGAGAGGAGGAGAAGGAAGCCTTAAACACCAAGTGCGGGTGTGCATGCGTGCGTGTGTGCCCGCCAGCACGCCGCTGCCCGCCTCGCCTCTGAATGCAGACCGTGCCTCCTGTAATCCCTTCTCCGGCTCAGCCTCCCTTGCACACAAGCCAACTGGCAAAACACAGCCCCCATTCTGCTCAGGAATGTGCTTTCGGAAACTTAATCTAGCTGCTGAGTCTGGGCCAAATCCCCCATGGCACTAACCCAAAGACAGTACCCCTTTCTCCCACGTTCCCGCCACCCCGTCCCTGCCTCCTCCAAGTCTGGGAGGCTGTAGTTCCAGTTCACCAACTCCCTGTGTCCCAGGACACAGACCCTGCAGGCCTGCTCTCCATTTCCAGCACTTCTCCATCCATCTTCTGGTCAGGCCCAAACATTTCCCTTCTGATTCATGTCTAAGTGACATGCCAATAGCTCTTGGCTTTCAAACAAGACTCGCCTCGGCTTCTGCACAAGCCCCCTCTTCTCTCACTGTGCCTCCTTGGGTTGCAACCAAACCCTTCCCTTTGTCCTCACTGCCAACTGCAGATCCCTTCAAGCACCAGAGAAACAGGGGCCAGGAATTTTTTAAAAATAAAGGCTATAAATTGTCTCTCCTCACACAGATTCACCTTGAAGTAGGAGGGCTCCAAAATAAATCATCTACTCTCCAGCTCTCCCTTCCTCCAACCAGTGAAAGGTGCAGCCTAGCTCCTGAGTGGGCCAAGTCATAGTCTCCTGGATCTTCACAGACAAGGGCTGACTATCTGCAGGGTAGCAAACCTCCTAGAGGAGCAGTGGCACCCTTCAAAGGCACAAACACTGCTAAAAAGCTCCTCTTATTTGTAAAAATGAACAACTGGCAAGGACCTGCTTGCTCAGCACTAGGAGAAGGGTGCAGTACATTAGAGTGGAGTCACTCTGGGATGTTCCAGGGCCATGCACAACTGTGCCTCTGCTCTGGTGGGTGACAGAAGACAGATGAACTAGGAGCCTGCTGAGGTGGTTACACAGAATGTACATGCGAAAAACACATGAAAGTGTTTACTTGAGATTAGTGCACTTTGTGTATTTTACTGGATGCACCTTATACTCAACAGAAAATGTAAATATGGTCATACAGCCAACAGAAAATGCTTGTCCTACAATGTCGAAGGGGAGAGACTAAAGATAGTAACTATCTTCAGTGCTGTAAAAATACGGGTACAGATGGAGGCTAGAAGGGTACGCTTTAAAATGACGATGGTGGCTTTGCGAGGATGGTGAGGAGACATTTTCTTTCTCCTCTAAACTTTCTATGTGTCCATTTTAATTATCATTAAAAGATATACAAGAGAAGTATGATGGTAAGAAGCGTAGCTCTGACCTCAGCCCCTCTTCTATGACAAGATGATCCCTCCCCACCTTCTCACCCTTGTGAAAGCACCCTCCCCGAGCTCACCAGCACAGCTGGGGGCCCAGGGCCTGCCTCCCTCACTGAACCCTGACTGTAATCCGAACTCTTAGCCTGCTCTCTAGAGGTCTGGCACTCAGGGTCAGTTAGTACTGCTGCAGCCACAAAGGAAAAGTAGCTCCCACTGTGTGGGGGGCTCTAAGATGCAGCCCCCCCTCAGCCTTGCCCCCAGGAGGGTAGCTGGGGACCCTCTGCCTTCCTCCCTCCCTCCTCTGAGCAGAGGGCAGGGCTGCTAGACTGCTTCCCAAGAAAACAGGCACACTGTGGCAGCCTCTGTTCTACTCTCTGTTCTCCAACGGACTAAAGGCCAGAGGCATCTGGAAACCAGAGGCAATGACGGGTCTTTATTCCCCCTGCTTTTCTACTTTCCCAGATCTCGCCACTCTCCTCCAGGACTCACACCTCACGCTTCAGGGAGCCCAGCTGACTTTCAGGAGCATTTTATAAGTTTCCTGCCTCTAGTATGACCCATAACATAGGGACCCCCAACCTCCCAGAACTACAACATCAACAAGGGAGATGATGATGGTGATATGGAGACAGGGTGTCTGGGACAAGGGGCACTGCTGAGTCATGAGGGGACATAGACCTCAAAGAGTAAGTCCAAACACCATTAAACTCTCAACAAGGGTCCCTGTTCCCTACACTTCAGCCAACAAAGAAAGTGAAAGTGTTAGTCTTTCAGTTGTTTCCGACTCTTTGTGACTCCATGAATTGTAGCCCCCCCAGGCTCCTCTGTCCATGGGATTCTCCAGGCAATAATACTGGAGTGGGTTGCCATTTCCTTCTCCAGAGGATCTTCCTGACCCATGGATCAAACCAGAATCTCCTGCATTTCAGGCAGACTCTTTACCAACTGGGCCAGCAGGGAAGGGGAAGTAATTCTTAATACTGTTGGCTCTTGAACAGCATGGGTTTGAACTGCATGGGCCCACTTGGCCATGGGTCTCTTCCCATAATAAATACTACAATATCACATGACCAGAGGTTGGTTGGACCTCAGATGCAGAGGACCCCTTATGAGTTATATGTAGAGTCTCAACTGACCAGAGGGTCAGCAACCCTTACCCTGTATTGTTCAAGGGCTAAATGTTTCCTGGCCATAGACTCAGCATATAAGAACAGGTGTTGGGGCTGCTCTGTAGCCTTTGGGAGTTTATTTAATCAGCCAACTCACTTCCCATGGCAAATCAGGTAATGTGTGCACTGAGCTTGGGCACAACAGTATATCCAAGTGGTAATTAAATGGAAAGGTAGTAAGAAGACTTCCGGCATCCTCTTTGGACCAACAGTCTCATCTCTTCCTCTTTCCCTCTTTATCACACAGTTGCCTTTTCATTGTGTTCTGATGTTTCTATTACAGGCATTTGGAATAGGCCTGCCCCTCTGAGACACAGGAGGCCAAGAGGAAATGGGCAGTATCTGTTCAGACCACACGTAGCCCTGTACATGCTCTGACTGCAACTGCTGTGAGGACAGAGTGGGCGGGGGTAGGGGGACGGGCAGCAAAGAGCTGGCACCACCCCATCTAAGACCACAGAGTGACCAAGTAGAAAGGCATGGCATGGCCCAGCTCTGGGGCCCACAGAAACAGGTCAGCCATGTCAAGGGATAGACACTCACTCCTGGTATGGCCCCTACCCAGAGGGCACAAACGTCCCCCAGACACTGGAGATTACTGGGCAGCACTGCTCTCTGATGAGAAAGGTCAGCTGGTAAGGCCCCTTTTATGATAAGGCTAATAGGGGGATGTTGATTGGGATGGGGAAGAGAGAAAGAGTAGCAGGTGGGCAGAGGAGCAGAACTCACTGGCTAGTGTCACGGTGGCTGGTACGCTGGCCACGGCCCCTGCAGGCATCCGCGCCACACACTGGTAACGGCCCACGGTGTGGTTGTTGAGGGCAGTGATGACGAGGGTCCCGCGGGTGATGAGGATGCCCAGGGTGTCATCTGAGCCGTTCAGCTCCTTCCCGTTCAGGCGCCAGGTGGTGGTCATCCAGGGGGGCTCCACCACGCAGCCCAGGATCACGGTTCCTCCGAGCTTCTGGACAGTGGAAGAAGGCTGGACAGTGACCTGAGGAACCTCATCTGGAGGAAGAACAGGGATGCAGAGATGAATTGACACCCCCCAAGAAACCGACAGCACGATGTGCTCAGAAGCACAGCACCCAGGCAGCCTTTCAGAGCTGAGCCATCCAGAGAGGGGTGGATCCTTCTCTGAAGAAACTCTGCTGAACTTAGGTCCTGTCCTCAACCTGGCCTGGTTCCCAGAAGGTAGACTGGAGTGGCAGTATGGTGGGACGACAAGAGCTCAAGCTGTAAACTTGAATAAGACCTGCATCTGGATCCCAGTGCCACCACTTCTGAGCCTTTTGGAGTCTCAGTTTCTTATCTGTAAAATGGGACTAATAATATTGGTCTCACAGCATTGCTGGGAAGCTTACACACAATGCATATAAACTGCCTGCTGTAACCCCATATAATAAGTGCTCAATAAAGGCAGTTCAGTTATTACTGTCATTCTTCCCTAGCATATGTTTGAAATGATTAAAACAGCAAAGTAACAACCAATATGATGTAATTGAGCTCATTTCTCATCTCATATTATTGAGCAGGTCAGTGGGAAGAAATCCAGGAGGAAGGCCTTTTTAGAGGGTCCTTGTCAAATTATTCTCTCTGACACTAGGGACAAAGTGGCCCTCCCAGGGGGCCTCAGAGGAATCAAGGAAAACACTCACTCAGGTCCGCAAAGCAGCCTGCAGCAGCGAAGAGGAGGCAGGCGAGTGTGACCTTGGGCTGCTTTTCTCTCTGCATCATCATCTTTCCACAAGGCATGCTGTGTCACAAAGGGTCCAAAGCCAATGTCTCCGAAGCCACCAGAGTCACTCAAAGGGTACCACAATCCCCTGCCACGCACTGCTGTGAGAAAGAGAGAGAGAAAGGGCTACGGTGAGAATGCCTGGGACACCCCCATAGTGGTGACATCCAAAGTGTGGACCTGGCTGGACTTCTGGAAGACCAAGAAACACAACATGCCATTTCTTATCTAAAATAAGCTGCTTCTAAGTTTCCCCTTTGAGTTGGAAGGTGATGTCATGGTAAGAATGCCAGAGCCTTGCCTAGGGCACTCATAGCCACAAGGACAGGACAGCCTAGCAGATGGAGAAGCTGAGACCTGAAGCCATGTCCCAGGCTCAGGACAGTGAATGTTTAGCAACGATGCTGGAAAGGAGGCAGATATTTTCACCATGTTCCTGCAGGAACCCAGGTGTCCATGGCCACGTGGCACGCCATGCCACTAATACAGACCACTGTGCATAGCACTGTCACAGGTATAATGGACGAACTCTGCATCCTTCATTTAGATGATGTTACTAACACCCCCAGGTGGTGCAGTGGTAAAGAATCCACCTGCCGATGCAGGAGACATCGGTTTGATCCCTGATCTCGGAAGATCCCCTGGAGAAGGAAATGACAACCCACTCCAATATTCTTGCCTAGAAAATCCCATGGACAGAGGAAACTGGTGGCTAGAGTCCATGGGACTGCAAAAAGTCAGACATGACTGAGTGACTGGTACAACTACTAGGACTAACAAGTAACATCCCTAAAGTCTCCAAGGCTCATGAAAGATCTATTTCAACTCACACCAGCTCTTCACCAACATCTCTGTCAACATTCTTTGATTCCTAGAACCAACCAACCCTCCTCAGCTTGTCTGCACCCTCAGACACAAACACAGACCAAAAAAAAAAAAATCACATATCAGCCAAGGCCCCTGTTCTCTCTGCCCCTGGTGCTGAAATTCTAGTGTTTTCCATCTCTACAAAGTTTGTACTCCTGACACTGTGTTGCACCTCCACCCAGAACAAGTCTCTGGGGTCCAGACTGCTCTGCTCCTCCAGCCATTGGATGACAGATCTCAGCTATCAGCCACTCTCTTCTTGCCTGCTAAGAATTTTAATTCCTCCTCTTCCACAATATTATTTTTCATGCCTCATTTAGGCTACAGTGTTTAAAGGATTCATCAAAATCACAGAGAGGCAAATGAATGCACACCTCTGTCACAGCCTAAACCACGATCTTGCTTCCGTGCTTTTCACTGCTCTATAAAGAACATGAGACCAATGTGGAAAGTGTGCCAACATTCTATCAGGCAGGGAGACTTCAGAGTTTCGGGTCCCCGAAGGCAGCATCACAATGACCTAGGCAGTGGATGCATCTTCCTGAATTATGCACATGTGGCAGTTTTCATAATTATTTCCAGGAGGGTGACTTAGATTCAAAGTGCTAACTCTTTTGGACCAGTTATCTAATCAGCAATTCTTTCCAAAACTTATAGTCAACAGTGAAAACTCAAGAGGGGGGTTAGGCTGCCGAACTGACAGCTGTGTTAGCTCTGCAGTCTCTGGAGTTCTGGCTACCTGCATGGGCTGGTGTCAGAGCCCATCTTGGGCCTCTCAACCCCCATCACTCCTCACACAGGGGCTGAAGGGTGGGCTTGAGGCTCTTGCTCTGTGCTAGGGAGTACTTAAGATCTGCCTAAACCTTCCCCTTCTCCACGTTCCTCTGGTTCTTCAGCTTTTCAACTGGCTGCTGAGTGAACGGGGCTATATAGCTCTGCCCAACAAGCACCCCTCCAAACCAGATTTTGAACCCAGCTCTCCACTGGGGTTTGCAATGTTTTCTAGGAAAGAGTCCTTTTCCCTTGAGTTTTAATCCTTCCCTTTGCCTCGTATCCTTGACAGCAGAGGACACCCCCAAGTCTCTTCCACTGTTCTGGAAAAGGACAGGAACATTTTCTAAAAGAGGTTTGAAAGAAAAATATTAAACTTTTCCTGACAAGTATTTTCCTTCTAGGTGTAGAGAGAGTTTCTGCTCTTTTCCAGACAATCCACTAGATCCATGCCATTAGAACAGTGAAATGAAGGAAAGTTGCTAAGGATGCGAGCATGACTGGGGAAGGCATGCCTGTTACCACTATAGGTACCTGGCTAAGCTCTTTTCATGAGGTATTCTTTTAATCTTCAGAATCGCTCTATAAGATGGGGACCATTATCCCCATTTTATAGGTAAGGAAATTTAGTTCCAGAGGGTAAGTAACTAGCCCAAGGTTGTATAACTGTAGGCCTGGAATGAAACCAGGTTGGGCTCATTCCAAAGTTCTGTGCTTTTAACGACAATAGTAGCCTTTTCATTTTTTTCCTACCAGCTCTCTGCATCCAGTGGGTGTTCAATGACCTGAGTGTGAACAGGATGAGGTAGAGCGATGAGGAATTTTAACAGTGTAAGATTTTAATTTTCAGATTTCTGAATCCCTGTTTGTTAAGGAAAAGTTCATTAGTACAGTCACACACAAAAACCAAAAAACAAGCCTTTGGTGTCCAGATACTAGTTTTAATCATCTAGATACTAGTTTTAATTCTCTACTTTCCCGCAATGAAATAACATATTTATCTAGAATATGGCATGAGTGACCAGTTACAGGATTTTAGGGAACTTGCTTGCTCATGACCTGCTCTTTCCATACCCCAAGAAAGAAAGGGGGAAGGGAAGGAAGGAGGCAGCAGGGAGACAGAATGAAGACAAAGTAATAAAGGGCAGGAAGACGACAAGCTGACAGAGGAGGAGAGAACGGCTGTTTCTTATCCTAGTGTATGGTAGCCACGGAGGTGTTTGGGTTGTAAAGTCGACAGAGGTTTTACTGAGGAAATTCAGCCTAGACCCCCTTCTGCTTAACGGGGACCAGCCAAACAATTCCTGTTACTTCTGTACCCTTCATGATTTATAAGATTCAAAATGGAAACAGACTTCACTACTGGTGCCAGCCACACCATCCTGCTTTTAAAAGGAACGAGGAAAGAATGTAGTTGGGGAGCGAGGAGAGTGAGGAAGCAGGTTTCCAAAGAGGGAGAAAGGAGTTAACTCATGAATCCCCATGACAGGGTTGTAAGCAGGTACCCCTCAATAAGCCCAAAGAGGACACGTGGGGTCTCCTTCGTGTCAAAGAGAAACTGACAACAGTATGGAGGTGGAGGGATCCCCGCAGCCTATGATGCATCTTATTCAGCAGCTGGGGAAACTGAGCTACTTCCTGGACCAAGTGACCTAGAGGGCTTGGTCTAGAAAAACAGTTGTAAAAATATAGATTTCTGAGAACTTTTTTTTTTTTTAATGATAAAAAAGGCAAGTGAGGCTTAACTGGAGTACCTAATTGCAGTGTAACTTTGTCCCACTGTGAAATGAACAAGGTACAATTTCAAAGTTGGGTGAAGGCAACAGTAAGGCCTGTTATTTTTCTTGGCAATACAAAGTCTGTGTAGACTTTGTGTGTAGACTTCTTATTTTCTCTGCATATTCTCAGGAAAAGAGAGCAAGGAAAAAAAAATCAGAAGCAGAGCGAAGGGAAAACGAATTCTTGACATGACTTCCTCACTGAGGCCTAGGTACTTTCTATTTTTAAGGGTTATTTGAACACAAAAAATAAAAGAAAATGGATCCGAGAAGCTGAACTGCTGACATACATGTTCCCACTGAAATAATCTCCAAGCAGACGTTTCTGAAACTTTCCAAAAACAACAACAGCAGAATACACGTCTAAGGTTGAGACCAAGCACGAGAAATTACAGCCTTGGAGTATTTATTTTGTGAGAGAAAATTACAAACAACCGAGAGTTGATCATCAGCTCCACCTTCTCCCAAGAGGGCCGGCGGAAGCAAGAGTGAGGCAGGGGCACCCAAGGCCACATGTCATCCCCGGTCAGCCACGCACTATAGCTCTCGCAGAGAGAAGCCGCCACCATCTAAAATGCCAAACACCCCCTATGGCTGTCCCATGACCAGTAAAAGGAGGAGTTGCACAGGAGAGCAGTAGACAACACAGAGCTTCCTTCTTTGGAAGGCAGCTGTGCTCACCACTCTACTGCCAATGCTGCATGAGAGCCTTTCTTAGAAACACGCTTTCAGGGGCAAGAATGGGATCTGACAATGTTCTGATTCCGTTGGGTGATGGGGGCTGGCTACATGAAAAAAGGATTATTCTTGACCTGAAGTTACCTTTTTTTCCGTATGTTTGCAACTCTGGGGAGTTAAGACAGGCCTTTCCCAAGGCAGAGAGAAGTTTTGCCCTGAGAAGGTGATGCTGAGTGCCTGGAGGGCGTGGGCTGGCAGCCCTCGGTCTCAAGAAGGAGGGTGATCCTAGTGCACAGAGGAGTGACACTGGGGAAACCTTGGGCAAACAAGTGAACTGAATTCTCAGACAGCTAGATACATGGCTGTAGGCAGATCCATAAAGAGCATTTAAGAAAGGGCTTTTTAAAATTTTTTTTTAACATGAAAAGCTTTTACTCACAGATGTAACTAAAGGGAAATATTTTAAATTAGGAGGGACCTGAGGAAACGATAGGACTTCCCGGGTGGCGCTAGTGGTAAAGAACCTACCTGCCAATGCAGGAGACATAAGTGGTTTGATCCCGGGGTAGGGAAGATCCCCTGGAGGAGGGCACGGCAACCCACTCCAGTATTCTTGCCTGGAGAACCCGATGGACAGAGGAGCCTGGTGGACTACAGTCCTTAGGGTTGCAAAGAGTCAGACATGACTGAAGCAACTTAGCACACACACATGCACGAGGAAAAGATAATACCTCAGGAGAACACCTAACAGGTATTTGGTATTCTAAATGAGGAAAGCCAGGTGCAGAGAAGCTGATGGACAGTCTCCAACTAAGAATAGGGATCCAGGACTGCAAGTCAGGTCTCCCGACACCTAGTCCAGTGCTCTTACTATACTGACACTGCCTCCCAAAGACTTTCTGGGTCACATTAACCAGATGCTTTAAACTGTTTTTAGAACCAAATTTACAATGTTTTTGAATTTACTTCCTTATGCATAAATATGTTACCTGGATCATTATCTACAA